TCCCGGCCAGTTAAGCGACGCTGCTGTACATGGCCAGTGAATTAAGAATTTGTTGAAATGCTCCGAAATCGACCGGAGAGGGAGTAATTATCCGGCTGAATTTAAACCGGAGGCGTGGTCCCTGGTGGTTGCAAGAAAAGGCCGGAGGCGAGATACCAGGCTTGGTTTCGAAATAGCAACCCCAGAGTTCTCAGCAAGGACTTTTCTGGAGCGAATCCCCGAGCGCGCTGCGCCGGTTGGCCCACGGCGCGGGGGGGCCTCTGTGGATTCACCTGCCCTCCTCTACTCGCGGACCGCACGCCCCCGCCCGGTGCTCCCCGCCTCTTGCCCTCCATGAAACTGCGCTGCCAACTCTCCAGCTTCGGGGCCCGCTTCGTGGAGAGCCGCGGGGAGAGAGGCTCCACTGCGCCGGCCGCCGCCGGAGGCCGCTTTTCAACCTCTCCCCCCACCCACCCCCAAGGCGAGGGTTTGCTGGCGACTCGCAGCTCGGTCCCCTCCCCCGTCCCTGAGCAGAAGGACCTCAGAGGAGTTCGTGGGTCTGCTGTGCACAAACACACCCATCAACAAAAGAAAGCCCATTATATCTTCCCTCCTGTGAACTCGCGCCCCAGCGGATACCTCTTTGAACTGACCCCGCCCCGCGGCCCCCGCGCCGCGCCGTCTGCGGCGCGCCGGGGCCTCGCGGGCTCCCTGCCTCCTGCGCAGCTGCGCACGTCTGCAGCGCGCACGGCCTTTGAAGTCTCTTTACATTATGGCGGAGCGGCCACCAGCTCGTCGGGGCGGCGGGGCTTTGTGTAACGGAACTGACATTTGGCCTTGATACCTGGATCTCTGAGTGATTGCAACAAATTTCTAAAATAATCTTGTACTTTGATCTTCCGGCATTGCATTTTTAATGGGCGCTCCACACATTAATTCATTAAGAGTAAGTTTTACAGGAGCCCCCAAGTACGAAGGGAGGGAAGCTGAACAGCACTTCGGAAAAGTCTTTCTCCAAACTTCAGAGCAGGCCCGGGAGAGCTAGAATCCCGGCGGCTTTTCACAAAAGGCGATGACGCCAAGAGCGGGGGACTCTGGGGAGGATGTGCTGAGTGCCCTAAGGACTTTGCATATGCAGATAAGTTGAGCCCGCTAACTCTTAAAAAAATGGAGAAGCTGAAACTCAAAGAGGCCAAAATGAACCCCTGGGTGGAGAAACCGCTTAGGCCCTCCTGACTCCCCCAGAGGCACCTCCAAGACCCACCTGGTGTCAGTCTTGAAAACGCTGCGCGGTCCACTCAGCATGCTCGAGGTCTCAGGAGCCCCCGCGGGGCAGCCAGCAACAACTTGGCCAAGGTCACCGAGGAGAAAGTGGCAAGATAGGAAAATCTGGCTTCAGGGGCCCAGCCCCTAAGCCCCAAGCCACTACTCTCGTTCGGTGGTGGTTGAATTGGCTAATGGGGGCTTTTCTCTCCGAGAGCAACTTTGGAGGTATGGATGAGCTTTTTTTTTTTTT